CATGGTCGAAATCATCGCCGAAGTCACTTTAAAATTAATTAGTCTCTCAAAAACGTAAATGCAGCAGCTTGTGGATCAAAAGACAAGGGAATAACCCAAAAAAAAAGTCATCGTACAAGTATTACAAGAAATTTTAAAATCGTTCAGATGCCATCACCACATCTTATAGAAATTTATATGGGATTAATCTTGAGGTACCCCTTTACTAACAAAAAAAGTATCATAGAAATCGGACAAAGTAGTAAAGAATTATCGCTAAACATACATAAAAAATGAAGAGTTTGAGGATTTTCTCATGGATCCAATTATTAGATTTTGACCAAATTTATATGAGATCACCCCTGAGGTATCCCCTTTCTAACAAAAAAGAATCATCGCTGAACATTCATTAAAAAAATATACCGACGAATTGAGAACCATAGCGCCGACCACACAAGGCTATATCAGCAAGTAAAAAGGGAGAATATTCTAGCTATGCCTACTGATAGAGCCATAACCACATAGAAATTAACCTATTTTTGAAGTCGGTTAATAAAATTAAGGTGGATTTTCACCAAAGTCACCGAATTCACATAAAAAACGAATACGTTTGGACTTTAGAAGTTTCCCCTTGGGTATATCATTGTTCTCAGTATAACTTTAAAGTTCATTATTGGTTATGCCAAATCATGAGCTCAGAACATTTTTTCTGATTAATGTTCTAATTTCAGTTTGCGCTTTGGCTATATTAAAAATATATCATTTTATTGTATCATTACTTTAAATGTTATGTCTTTCTATGAGGGTTAGTATTATTGTTTTTTTCCATATTTAGACACAAATAGTTTGCGTGGTACCATGCTTTGATTTTTTGAATGCCATTGCTGTGTTATAAAATTGTAGTGTCATCAGCAAATAGAGTCAAAGTACTTGCAATCTTAAGTTGAGTCATATTTGAGCAAAGGCTGACGTGGAATCAACATCTCAAAAAACTTACATACAAAGCTACAATAGCTCTCGTAAGCTGTAGAAGAATATGTGGGAAAAACAGGTCTAAATCCCAAAATAACCATATGTGCAGGCAAGTGCAATAGGCCAACTCACTAGCATTCAGCGGCTTGCCTGTCTAAGTGCTATTGGGGCTATGCGCACTACGCCGACTGCAGCAATGGAGGTATTATTAAATATCTCGCCACTGCACATCTTTATACAAGGAGAAACCAGGTCAGCTATTCACAGGCTAATGCAGGGACAAAACCCAATAAGCCAACTACATAGCGCCGACCACACAAGGCTATATCAGCAAGTAAAAAGGGAGAATATTCTAGCTATGCCTATGAAAAAAAAAAATTCAAATTCAAATACCAGCCCGAGAAATAGGGACCTCCCGTACAGGCTGAACTTGTCTGGTACACAGACGGTTTAAAAACCAAGGAAGGAGCCGGTGCTGGAATCTATGGACCCAAGTCGAAAACAACGATTTCGCTGAGTTTAGGAAAATATGCAATAGTGTTCCAGACTGAACTAATAGCCATACAACACTGGGCAAGAGAAATATTAAATCAGCAAGCTCTGATAGCCAAGCAGCTCTAAAGGCACTTTTCTCACCAGAAATCAAATCACGACTGGTGAAAGACTGTCTAGAAAACCTGGCAGAGCTAAGTAGTCAAAATAAGGTGACCCTAGCCTGGGTTCTAGGCCATGAGGAATATCAGGCCAATGAAAAGGCCGACGTATTAGCCTGAGAAGGCTCATATAAGGCCATGACAGTCCCCGAACACCTCTGTGGAGTTGCTAAGGCATTGTGCAAGGCATCTATTAAACAATGGATGCAAAAAGAGTCTTAGGAATGGTGGAACAACTATCCAAGACTGAGACAGGCCAAATAGTTCATCAAGGAACCATCGGCCAAGTTCATGAAGGACCTACTGGATCAAAAGCGTCAAATCGTTAGGATAACAGTAGGCCTTCTTACTGGACACTGTCGCCTCAAAAGGCACATGAGTGTCATAAATCCAGCAGAAGAAGCAACTTTGTGCAGGTTCTGTAAAGAAGAAAAGGAAACATCACTCCACGTCCTGTGCCAATGTGAAGGCCTGGTTGGAATGAGGTTTCTAACATTGGGCGAAGAAAAGCCAAATGCATGTAACTACATGCGGGTGTCAAATCTACTAAGTCTAATAAAAATCAACACAGAACCCTGAGTAACACCCCAACTTTTATCTTAAACTTGAGAGTCCTTAGTATTTCTTACTATCTGCTTACGTTCTGAAAGATAAGATTGTATCAGCATTTTGTCTTCGATTCCGCAAATTCAAAGTTTTTGCAATGATACTGTATAATTGACACAATCAAATGTCTTTGTCAATTCACAGGATATCTCCGCTATAACATCATTAAAATTAATTTTAGATTAAGCAAGTTCAAGATAAGAAAATATCGCATTCGTAATAAAAATTAGGCGGCGGAGGAGGCGATCCAGTCTTGATAATAAATACAGGCACCCCATAATGCATATGTGTAATTTTAGATGGTTTTCTCCCAAAAACTCTGTAATGCGCATGCGTTGTAGTGCCGCTAAACATCGCACCGCTGTGCCATTTTTGATTAGGTCGGTAGGATAGTGTAAAGACGGTTTTCCACTAAACGGACAGTTGAGTTTATGTTTTTTTGTGTTTTCTGGAACTTGAAAAATAAAAACAAAACTGAGACAAACCCAAAACTCTTGTTTCCATTAAGCATACTATGTATTGTTCCAGTTTTGTTTTCGGTCCTTTTCCACTGGTTGTCACGAGGAAGTCAGAACACATTTTTTTCAATATTTTATTAATATTTGTAATACCTATTTAAAGATAGGTCCAATTTCAAAATATATATAAAAGTAGTTCAAAAAATGTATGCGAAATTAAAAGTACAATATACAGATATATAGTCTACTAATGAACATACTTATATAAATTTATCAAGCATTTAAAAATAAATTACTTATTAATAATTACATATCTATAAAAAATACGTTATTTACTTACCAATTTAAGTAAAAATTTGGTTCAAAATTTAGACTACACAACACGACCGTTTCCAGTAAACATACTCGAGTTTCAAAACGCGTCGAAATCTTTTGATGTTACCGTTTCCAAACGGGACTCTAGAAACAACTCCAACTGTCCTAAAACACGCCAGTCTTCAAAAAGTTTCCGAAAAGTTGCAGTTTTGTTTTTTTCGACACGAGTTGCTGTATTGTTCTTGTCTTGTCCGTTTAGTGGAAAACCGCCATAACGTTCCACTACTGGGTAGTTCAGTGGTTAAAATTCACTGACAAGAGAGTGAATTAGGTAGAGTATTATTTATTATAATCTGGTTCAGTTTGTTTTAGTTTTTTTTTTTAGTAAATGATTAATAATATTTGTTAGTTACAGTTTTCCATGCATTGATTTTAACAGTATTTCATCACATGTTTCTCTTTAAAATTTTAAAATGAAAAACTTGCTGATCCCTCCAATTTTAGAACAATACTACTTTTACCAATTTTATCAAAAATTCTTGAAAGACTTCTCAACAAATATTATCTATTTTTTTATTCTTTTAATACTTAGTTGTGTATTTTTTAGATTTAGTTTGCTATTTTAGTTATTGTTATTTAATATATTATGATGTTAATCAAATGTTAAATTTGAAGTTTGGACAATATATTTTTCATTTGTTTATTTATTTATCAAATAGATGTACCAGATTGATAAAGGAACTTAGTCTTCTGAACGTTATCAAAAAAATTTCACAGATTTACATTTCTTTTTCTTTATATGAATTCGTTATTTGAGTACAAAATAATGTGTCAAACGCATAAGAATATCAGTAAAAAAAGGAATTTAGCTAATACTTGCATTCTAAAGTGTTGTCGCTATATATCGTACCTAATTAAACAACAGTTATTTAAAAAGCATGTCCTACCACTGCTTCACCCTGCGGGGTGTGCCCTTGAGTTCTTTTTTTGAGGGATAATGATCTGAGCGCTAAACCATGGGTGGTTTGTAAACAGTTCATACTAGAAGAAGCTGCTTCAGGGCAAAATATACAAGATAACAAACACTATTTAAATATCAAAATTGGATATGGGCCGTGGAAATGAAAAACAATTCAAAATTGTTTTTAGTAATTAGTTGCAAATTATTAAAAATAAGTGAAATATCTATTGTGTTATGTTTATTTATTAAAAATTAGGAAAGGAAAATAGAACTAATCTTGTGCTGTCTGGTTTTGGTTAGAGGGGAGGCACAAAATTGATCGAAAACATTTAATCGAAAACATTTAATCGAAAACATTTAATCGAAAACATTTAATCGAAAACATTTAATCGAAAACATTTAATCGAAAACATTTAATCGAAAACATTTAATCGAAAACATTTAATCGAAAACATTTAATCGAAAACATTGATCGAATAAACATTTTATCGAATGACAATTGATCGAACAGAAAAATGATCGAAAAGAAAAATTATCGAAAAGAAAACTCATCGAAAATAGATTTGATATAAATAGCAATTAATCGAAAAACCTATTATACATAAAATTAGAAAAAATAACAAAACTAATTTACCTAACGATAAAAATGACTTATAGGTATTATTAGTAAATAATATTAGACTCATAAAATAATAATATAAGTTGGCTGTTTTTTGTTTCACAGATTATATTATTAGTGACAGAATCTTTTCTAATATATTAGCATCTACTAGATCTAGTGTCCTTATTAAAGTTTTGTTGATATGTCAAAAGGTAGTATTTTTGAATTGTGAAGTGACATTCTAATTGAAATAAAAGATGCCTAAATTGAGCAAAAGGGAAGAAAAGAAAATGAAAAATCAAAACTTTTTAAGAATAAAATATTAGAATTAAAGAATGAACTTTTTGGTCAGTTTTCTACTACTATTACCAAAGAGTCACGAAAAACAGCATGGATAAATGTAAGAGATTATGCTGTTTCAATAGGTCTAATAGGAAGCGACAAAGAGTTTTGTTATGTACGCAAATTGGCCTAACCTAAGGTCCAGAACAATGGTAAGTGTTATCTTTATTTATAATACGACTACATAAATGAATACGACTACATAAATGCAGTTATTTACTTTAATTGTATTTCAATTGCATTCTATGAGTTATCGCCACATTTAAGAATTAGTTTTTAATACATAATGCTTTAACAAAGCTTATTCAACATTGGTGTGTCTAAATAATGGAAACAGTGTAATAAAAACCCACCACATTATTTTTTTAATTTTTTTTGTAACACAGGTTTGCAACAAAAAAAATTATCTCAAATGTAATCAGTAATTTTTATAAATTTTTTAGTGCTGATTATGGGAAAATATTTAAAAATATTCCATCAAATACAGTTTTGGCAAATATTTTCAAAGAAGCTGTTATATTTTACAAGCACTTTGGCCTTTATAGTTATGCATTTTTTCAATATTTTGTTGTGTATAATATGTAAACCATGTCAGCTTTTATCTGCTTATTAAAATTTAGAAACTTTAGGGTAAAATTTTGTTTTTTACCCAAAATATATCATTCTTGTGAGATATTCTGAGGTGACCGAAAAAAATTAATTTTGATTTTGAAATCAGCACTAAAAAATACACTATAAATCAGTTATTTGGACAATTTTAAAAATATTTTGTTTAATTAATGCTAATAGTTTTTAATTTTACTATTGAGCCGTCCTCACTTGTAATGCATATAAAAGATTTTTATTTGATTACAGACAAAAATTGACCAATCAAATAAAACTGGCGCACAAGGAGGTACCGAATCAAAATTAGATGACACTGATAAACTAGTGATAGAAATAATTCGAAAGGAATCTCCTGTTGTTCAAGGAATTGCCGTACCCGATTCAATGGAAACTGTTTCCGAAGTAAAAGACATTACCGAGGACTTAAGTTATTCTATGCCCAATGAAAACGATGATAATGGCACCACAAAAAGCAAGTGCTCGCTTCAACAAAGTTCATGTAGAAGTAAGACTATAAAGTAACTAAAATTATTTCAAAACAAGTCAACCTAGTTTCTAATTCAGATGATTACATATATTATTTTTGTCGGTAAGAAAAGAGTTATCGTTTAGCAACCCGATGATGCTAAGAACATTCAATTTCTTAAAATAAAGAAACTTCAGCTTGAGGTTCGGAAGTTGGAACTGAAAGTTTGGGAAAAAGAATGCTCACTTAATGTTAAACATTTTGTTCATACTATGAATACTGAATCCTCAACGTAACATTTTATTACCTCGCAGGCAAATCTAGGTTTTAATCTTAAATGGATGAGGCATGGAAATGTTTCTTTCAAAATACCAATGGCACATACAATAACTCGCCTTGTACTTTTGTGTGCTCTTAAAAAAAAAATTTGTTGTGCAGGATCTTCTGCATTACGAAGTACAGGTGGTATAAGCCAAGGCTTTAAAGGATAAATTGGATCATCTAACAGTACGGCATTTGGAAAAGCTTTCCAACAATCTTCCATTCTGATGCTAACTGTACTTCGCCTCCAAACTCGTGCATCGCTGACGCTACCAGGCCAATTGGCATTTACATAATAAAACTTCATTGTTGGACTACATACAAGCATCACGTTCAATAAATGATTACCATGACAATCCACAAAACCAGGCTCATATTGACTTGGAGCATCAATGTTAATTAAAGTCCCGTCCACTGCTCCACACACAAGGGGCATTCCAGCCATTTCACTAAACCCATGAATTACTTCAGCCACATCCACTGGCCAACAAACTGTTTCGTTTATTAAAATTTGATTAATTGATGTAACAACCCTGTGAACAACTCTTCATACAGTAGCTTTACTAATACAATGCATATCTGCAACACCATGGTACTGCGTCCCACTTCCAAGTTAATGTAGTGCACTTATCAATTGCTGCTTGGCTGTAAGCGCATGATTTCTTTGAGTATCAGAAGATAAAAGATAGTCTATCCGTTGCAGTATTATATTAAAACTTCCAGTAGGTAACCTAAACCTTTTATTGAATTCGTAGGTTTCTTTTAAATGTACATATGAAATTCTCTCTCTGAAAATTCTCGGTCGTCTAACTACAATTCTAATTTCATCGTCACTTGAATATGAATCCATAATTTTCAAATAAAATATGTCACATATGCAAATTAAGTAATAATATTAGTAGTTATTTATTATTTAAAATTATTTGTTTACTTTAACTATGAAACATACTTCAAATTTTACAAAAATAATAAACTAATATTAAGAGTAAGATTACTAATAACTAATTTTATTACCTAAAAATATTAATAAACTAAAATTAATATTTCTTACTCATAATATTAAACTTTAGCCAAAATTTTTAGACTAATAAGTTTTATGAAATAGGCCCCAGGAGGCGTCTTCGCAAATATACAAAAAATCTAACTACCTAACTTACCTAAATTGTGCGAGAGCAATCAGTTTTAAATAGCACAGGTTAGGTGAATTAGTTAATTTTTTTATTTTTTTAATTTTTTTTGCAAGGCAACCCTTGAGGGCTCCAGGCCGCACAGGCAAAAAAGAAAAATATTCAAATATATTAATTAATAAATGGGGGCTTTCTCTTTTACAGGGTATATAAAAATATAAGAAATAAATAAAAACTACTAAGAATTGCACTTTTCAATCCAAGGTATTTTAACTAATTTACGGGGTGTTAAATATTTAAAGGGGTAACAGTATGGACCAAAATAAACAAAAAAGTCTTAATTAACATGGGTCTTCAAAGTAACAGTTATATGGGTAGGTTATTCTTTTTTGAAACATTTATTAATAATTATTTATTATGTAGAAACAAAAGAAGCTCAAACAAAACCCAATTTAAGATAAGATGTTCAAAGTGCACTCCTTCTATTTTCATGCATGCATGACATTTTTTTCTGAAGGATATTCAAACTATTATTAGCTCGAATTTGTTGGCAATTTCACAAAACATCAGCCAACTATAATAAGAAAATACAAGTTTTTACGAAATAAAAAAGGAAGTAAAAGAAGAATAACCTTCCTTCCTTTATTGACTTTTTTTATTTTGGTCCATACTGTTACCACTAAATATTTTACAGTCTTTTTAACACCCCGTATATATAACCAGTTTCCCTAAATTAAACTATTATTAACGTTCTACCATTTTATATTTTTAATGAATCTCCAAGCACAGAAAAATAGACATCTAAATCGGCCATCGAAATATAAATTTTATAGGTTATATTTGTCTTCTTTTTCCATCATATCTCGATCTTCGATAGCGTGACGATAGTTAAAGTTATTATCGATACTATCGATAGTGAATTTGAAAATAAAACTATCGATGCTATCGATATTCGGCCACCTCTAGTTTTGTTTTTTAAATAGGGATAGAACTGTCGACATGACTTTTTTGTTTATTGTTACTCTTGGCTTTCAATTTTTAATACCGAGACTCCCAACTTTAGTTTTTTCTCTAGTTCATATTTAAATGAGATAACACTCTTTTTTGATAGAATTGAATTACTACAGTTCGCTTTTTTTAAAGCTGGAAAGCGAGACGTATAGTCACATTATGTATTAGGTAAAAGTTAAGAATATGTGTTATATAAGGCACTATAAATGTTAAGTGTCCTACAATTACGCCAGAAGAACGGCGATAGGATAGAATACGCGATGGTATTGATTAGAGAGAGGTAGAAATATGCGCCAGCCCACTAGCGGTAGAAGTGTATCCATCTATCCAATTACGGCAGTCACCCGATTTACGATAGTCTCTCTTTATTTAACTTACGTGCACATATAATTAGGCGTCTCATCTTAATTTCGAAGGATCCATGTGTTACAGTAAATGCCAAATCTAAAGAACCGGCGCAAATGCTCAAGTTCGTTTACTTAAAAATCGCTACGCCCATTCACAATTTGAACCTTGTCCTTGCTTACGGTCAGTAGTGTAACGACTAGATCATTGTTTGTTTCTTGTTTTGGTTAACGTGACTGGTTTTATTTTTGATGTCTTCTATTGTGGGTGAAAAAAAGCGCACTATTTCCCATTTATTTTATGTTTTAAAATATACGCGCCCCTGGTTTACAACTTTTTAGGTAAGCTACCAATTCGATTCATCGGTAGGCGTGTTCATAAATGGGCGTCTTTGGTTCTTTAGATTTGGCGTTTACTGTAACATATTTTATGTAGACAGCACGTCTGTAAACGTTATAAATTTAATTCATCGTCACCAATTCCATTCGTTTTTATATTTGCAATGGTGAAGTACGAATAGATAATTGATTTTTTCAAATTAAAGTGGAATATCCATCGCGTATAGTACGCCACTGGGGTCATCAAGGTTTGTATTTGTACGCGCGTATATTAGCGCGCTTTGCGTGTCTCTGCATTAACTATACGGGCAGTCGGGACATGTTGAAAAATGTTTTTTTAGAACCTAAACACGGGAGATTACCGAGACAAATGAAGCTCGTATTCATAATATACATACGTAGGTACGTACGTCGCTTACAAAAGACAAATTCTCAAAAATGCTAAAGATAGAGCTGAATTTTTTTTAGAAATTCAAAGGGGGGTCCATTAATTACGTGAGGTATTTTTGACCCCCCTCCCTCCTGGTGAGATTTAGTAAGATTTTCCTCAACTCCCTGCCCTTCCCCCAATCTCACTTGAGATTTTTCAAAATTTGTGTTTTGGGTGTAAATGCGTTGGATTATTAAAAAAAAAAAACAAAAACTCAATATGTTCTATTACTTTTATTTAGGACTAGCAAAGACTAGTGTTTGAGAATATTGCCGTAACATCAAATTTCTAGAAACATTCTTTACTTTAATTTAACTTTACTTTCACGCAATTTTATATCGTTTTCTACTAGAAAAAAAAATTACATCAGATTTACAAAGACCCCCTCTCTCCCAAGTGAGATTTGGAAAGATTTAGCTTGATCCTCTTATCATTAGTATTATTAAGACACTTAGGGGTCTATTCTGTAACAATTCCTTTATATTTAAGGGCCTTTAAAAATATTTTCTTCTTTACTTACTTCTGTCATTATTTAAACGGATCTTTAAAATACATTAGAGGACTATCTTAAAGAAATCTGTTTAAACAATGACAGAAGTAAATTAACGAATACAAACATATTTTTAAAGGTCGCCAATATTTTTAAAGGCCGTTAAATATAAAGGAATTGTTACAGAAAAGACCCCTTAAACAATTAAAATTTTCAGGCTACATAATTTCAATGTCAAATTCGAATTTTGCTTCGAAAAACAGACACTTATAAAGGTATAATATTAAATTAAATTAAAATAAAATGATGTTCCTGGAATATAAATTGGTATTTTATCATGGTTTATGTCAAAATACACTGTAATTTTTTCCCCTTTTTCAGAAAATATTAATTTTATCCAAAAAGTTTTAAACAAAAGTTATTAATTAAAAAAATGTGTTAGTCGCATTCATTGAAGGGAATCCTTGATCTACCAATGTCAAAATTCTATTGTTATAGCTACTATGAAAATTGGTCCCTCATCAATCCTATTTTCTTCATTTGGCACCCTGCGACTATTATCTATTTTTTACACGTTAACGAAAAAAATAACTGATCTAAACTCAAAAATGTATCTTATGGTTTCTAAGTAACAAAAAAAATTATATTTATTCTTCTTTTTTGCAGTGTATTTTTAAAATTTGATACTAATTGAAAGAATACATTATTAATTTAATTCAGTTATCTAAAAAAAAAAAAAGAAATCAATGCATCTTCAACTATTCCGCAATCTGATAAGAAACGTTTTGATAAAAATTCGTGTTGATAAATTTTTTCCTGTAAAAATACAATAATGAATAAAATATATGTATATCAGGTGTAGGATTCGGTACCCTAGATAACCGTTTGCACATACACATACATACATACATACATACATACCTATATAAAATATATGCATGAATGTATACGGTGTTAAAAATTCGATTTGTTAAAAGCTCACAAACCGTAGTTCCTTATCCTGTGTGATCAGCGCTGTTTATAAATTAATGGGTCAAATCATTTAATATAACCGAACTGGACACGTAAATCTATACTTCTACGTACACCCATTGACATAAATTTGCCAACATTAAATAGCTAAGGTTAAATCAAAACCAAATTTTGTAAAAAAAATTGATATGTGTTGTTCAATTTTACTTTATGATTTGTGGCTGTGGTTACAGGTAATGTGGTATAATTTTATTTGTTATATGAGGTTAAAATCATCAAAACTCCGATTGGTGAAGAAGATTTTTGATTGGAATTTATGAATATTTGACAATAGTTCTTTTGAAGACAAAACTCCGTCATTTATTAGCGCACGAATATCATACGGATGCGTACTAATACGTCTCATAGCGCAAAAGCATACCGCATCCGTATCTGGTTTGCGGAGACATTTTTCTCTCTAAAAATTTAAAAAGTCACATATCGATTTTCAAAATTTTAAGCTATCGGGATATTTATATACTGTTACATAATTTGATGTGTGATATATAACAAATGCTAGTTGGTAATTAATTAATATATTTTGATTAATTAATTATTTTAAGTTTGTTGGACACCAATATTAATTTAAACTTTGCTTCAGTGGTGTCGGTTCATTTTATTAACAGCGATGTTCATTTAATTGTGACAGAAAATTTTATCTTAATTATTAATTTATTTTGTTTAATTTTAATTTCTAATAGCAGATTAATATTTTAATTATATTTTACTGGAGAAATATGAATAAATTTTAATTATAGTCTTTTTTATTGATCATTTATTTGCTTATCACCCTGTATTCGACAGTTTACCTTCCCAATACAGTGAATTAGCTGTTCTCCACTACTGATGTAGATGACCTTCCAACGTCACGATGTTGCCATTAAATTATTTCTAAATTACCCCAAGAATTATGCAACAACAGGGAACAACTAAATTTTAATTCTTTGTTAGTTTAAATTTAAGATATGCAATTGTTACTTTATACATTTATTTTCTTAACCAATCATACTTCATTAAAAAAACTAATACTAATAAAAAAAATGTATATGTTACGGGCAATTTGATTATTCCAGGCATTATTCATAATGGCCGGGAAATTTATAAAGTGCCCAATACAGTCGGGCCATTTAATAATTTTATATTTGTCTATAATAATTCATTACACTGCCCGGTCATTATAAACACTGCTATTATTTTCTGGGCACTTTGATTAATTTTAAGCAATTTGGCAACGTGCGTATAGTGTGATTCTCACTGGCTAATCAGCATCCATTTTTGATGGCTTGTCGCTTGTCCATCTTGCGCGTTAATAAGTTCTCGTTCTCGATTGTTTTCAGTTCTTTGCTGGGCTGTTAATAATTGTGCCACGAATATTTAATGAATTTTGCTTTAAAGTGACTTTATCGTTTTGTTTTAAGTGTTAGTGATTTTTCTGTAAAATAAAATGCAGAAACAGTTGTTATTAACTGATGTAAGTGAGATGAAAAATCGTTTCGACGAACGGCTGATGAATTGTGTTCATCAAAAGGTCAGAATACACAAATTCTCACAAAACCTCAATACTTGGAATTAATAGAAAAGGTTAAAACATCTAAAAGCAAAGTGGTAAATAAAAAACCCGAGGATTATCAGCGTTTACGCAGGTTTGACGTAATGACTATTGGAGAGAAGGAAAATCTGATAGTTCCTGTAGAGGAAGGTAAAGAGCAGATTAGGTTTTACGTACATCGGGAAGAGATATTTCAACATTTACATGATGCACATATTTCTATTGGGCACGGTGGTCGAAACCGCATGGAAAAAGAGATCAATTTAAAGTATAAAAACATCACAAGGGAAATGATTGTAATCTATCTAAATTTATGTATGACCTGCGAAGAAAACACAGTGTACCAAGAAAAGGTTTAGTTGTTAGGCCGATACTAAGTAAAAACATGAACTCAAGATGTCAAGTCGATTTAATCGACATGCAGTCGCAAGCTGATGATCAATATAAATTCATATTTGTATACCAAGATCATTTAACTAAATTTGTTCAACTTCGACCTCTTAAAAGCAAAAGAGCAGAAGTAGCTTATGTGCTTTTGGATATTTTCACTATTTTTCGTGCGCCCACTATTTTGCAGAGTGATAATGGCAGAGAATTTGTCAATAGTACTATTAACGAACTATGTACCATGTGGCCCGAATTAAAGATGGTACATGGGAAGCCCAGACACTCTCAAAGTCAGGGCTTCGTCGAACGTGCGAATCAGGACGTGGAAAATATGCTTTGTTCGTGGCTAGAAGGCAATAACAGCAAAAAATGGTCAGAAGGCTTTTTTTTTCGTCTGACTATGTGTCTCCGAATAACACTGAAGCCTATTGGCTTATTGTGTTTTACCCCATGTTAGTTCATAGCACCCACTCTATCACCTTTGTACCTTGTACAAGTTTGTACAGATCCTTGGGTGAGTGGGTTCTATACGTTGTTGGATCAACCTGGGGTTGTCCAAAAAGAGCCTGTCTTTTGCGATCTAGAGCTTCGCATTCGCACAGTATGTGTTTGGCCGTTTCTGGTTTCTTGTGACATAGTCGGCACATGAGTTCCCCATTGTACATGCCGATTTTGTTCAAGTGTCCCTTTACTGGGGCGTGCCCAGTCATGAACCCTGTTATCACTTTCAACTGGTTCCTATTCATTAAGAGTAGTTCTCCAGTTCTTTTGGGACATGGTCTGCCTATGAAGGCTTTTCCATGTGCCTGTTTTGGGGTGCTTCCCCAATAGTTGATATGTTGTTCCCGAATCCAGTCATTTATAAAACCCCGGACTGTACTTTTTGGTACTCCTGGGTTTGTGTCTGGTTCCGGTGTTTCTTCTGACTTTCTTTTTGCAAGTTCGTTAGCCTTTTCGTTGCCTTCGATCCCTTTGTGACCTGGCACCCAAAATAGTTTTACTCTATTTCGGTCTGCCAGTGTTCTTAGTTCTTCGATGCATTCCCATACCAGCCTCGACGTAACTTTGTGACTCGATATGGCCTTAAGTGCCGCTTGGCTGTCTGACATTATTTGAATATGCTGATTTTCGACAGCTCTTTCATTGTTCGTTTTTGCACATTGCAAAATTGCGTATACCTCGGCCTGAAATACCGAGGAATGTATTCCTATAGCATAGCTATGGTTAGTATCAGGGTTTTTGGAGAATACTCCTGCCCCAGTGCCTTCCGCAGTCTTAGACCCGTCTGTATACCAGGTTTGTTCCTGTCGTTGGGCATTGGGCTCCCTTATGGTGATCTCCGCTCTTTCCTGTATTAAAACCTCAAAGGGAGTATTAAAAGAGTACCTCTTGATTAAGTGGTCTGATCTCATGTCTAGCACGTCTCCTGTCACTAACCTTGAGATACTCATGTGACCTGGCCTAATGTCAAGATTTCCCAGTGTATTCCCTAATCTGTAAGCACCTAATCTTGCCTCCCTTTGTATCACATAGTGACGAGGTCGGAGTCCTATTAGTGCTTCCATTGCAGCAGTGGGGGTTGTTTTCATTGCCCTCGTTATTCTGAGGCAGGCAAGTCTTTGTACCTTGCTAAGCCTCGTTATTGCTTTCCTTTGCTGTGTCTTTGGCCACCACACCAAAGCTGCGTATGTTATTATGGGTCTCACCACCATGTTATAAATCCAATATACCATGTCTGGTTTTAACCCCCATTTTGTTCCAAAGAATCGCCGCTCAGAAGGCTTACGTTTTGTTCAACTTATGAAAAACAGAGCTCATCATAGTGGCATAAACTGCCTCCGTATGAGGCCATGTTTGGAACAAAGTTAAAAGTTGGTCTAAAAAGTTATTTGCCTGAGGACGTTCTGCCTAATATAAATTCTGAAGAGGTCTTGGAAGCAATAGTAAAAGATCAAAACAATTTAGAGTCTACAGAAGAAGGTGCACTGCAAAGTAAACCAGGGTCAATTTCTTTAGCGGAAGTAGGTCCAAGTCAACAACACGAGGGGGAAATATCTTCTATTGATAGTTATGTTCAACCATCAACTTCGTTATCTAAACCAAGCTCTGATTTCAGTAATAACAAAAGAGAAATAAATGTCTCAGGGGCATCTGAAATTCAAGTTCCCGGTCATGAGAAACGCGCGTATGAAGATTATGAAGATTTCTCAGAAGACCCCAATGTGAAAAAAAGAAAAACCGACATATTAAAAATTAGGGAGATTTCAGCAAGCAATCTAAAGAGCAAGCTGAAAAAATGCTTCAGCCAAGACTGGGGGCCAAGGCTATAGTCGATGCGGCTGTAAAGGGGGCTGTAAATCTGACAAGCGCAAGTGTCGTAAAGAAAAAAAGCTTCGAAATGTCACCAAAGTGGAAGCTGTTCTAATAAATAGAAGCTCTAGAATTTGACATTTTGTATGTATAATGTATTTAGGCACATACGGTACCTAATATGTTTTTTCAGATTGTTACTTAAAAATTTGTTTTTAATGTAATAAATCCTCTTATTGTTGTATGTAGACAAATATAAAATAAAAATATTCTCAAATTGCCCACTCGACTTCCAGCATTATTCATAATGCCTAGGCAATGTGATTTTTTCTATATAATTTATCATTTTGTCCAATCCCTTCGGGCACTTTTTAAATTGCCCGGGCATTATAAATACTGCCCAGTTATTTACATTGCCCGTAACATATATAAGAATCAGAACATTCCTTTTTTTAATAAACAGTGGCAACATTGTTTTATTTATGACATGGACATCTAATTTCAGATTAGTAAGTGTCAAATTAAATGTGCCAGATTCATTTGTATTTTTATGCTTAATTGAAAGAAAATCAACATAAAAGTATAGTTAATAATTCAATAATACTTGTTTGTCAGTACACTTACACCGAAAGTAGTAAAACTGGACCGCAAAAGAATGGTATTTTTTTATTGTTACACACGTCTAGGAGCATAATATTTCATTGTCATCGATAAGCAAGCTTGCTTTGAATTTAACAGGTATCACGACAGCTCCCACCACAGGGACATAGTATATGTTGTTCTTAATAATACTTTTAAAAACATTTGATATTTTATATTTAAATCATATTTATTTAACGATATTTTAGAAGTAAGACGGTGCACTTGCGCGAGTTTCGGATTAACAAAATTATGCAAATTAGTCATTGACAACCAGTTCCAATAACCCTCTTCCCAAGAAATTAGGTAAAATTGCCCTAATGGTCAGATTTAAATTAAAATAACATTAGGGTAGGTACTAAATTTGTAACAAATATTGCAGTTGAATTGATTCTTTGCAAGTGTTTACATTGTATGTATATTGTAAATTTAGTGGAAATTTTAAAAATGCCTAGAGGTGTGTAAGATGTAAATATTCTAATTTGTAGTGTACATAAGTATTTTACGGATGAAAAAGAAAATGGCGGTCCTTTAAAATCGGTAATGTCTGTACAACAACGCGTATGCGATGCTCTAGGAATTAGTGAAACCAAATTAAAAGGAGTATTACAAAATCACAATAGTGAACTGCCGAAAAAAGATCACCGCAAAAGTCGCCCATCATTGAAAACGAAAGATATTCCAGATGGAAAGAAATTTGAAATTCGTGATACCATTTATCGAATGAGGGCCAACAAGGAACATGTGACCTTAAATACAATTCTCTCGGAATTAATAGATAGAAAATTTGATGACATTGGCAGAACAAGTCTAGGCAGAACAAGTCTATGGCAAGTGATACATAACTTGGGTTTCAAATTTCAAAAGGAGGATAACAGAAAGGCTCTTTGTGAAAAAAGTTCTGTCTTGCACAAGAGAATTAACTTTCTAAGAAAATATTCTAAATTTAAAGAAGAAGGGGCGAATTTTATATATTTAGAAAAAAACTGAATATTTTCTAGGGGTGCAACCAAGAGAATATGGCAAGATGATAACGTAAAGTCCATCAAACATATCGATGGAGAAGGGAAGCGACACATAATTTTACATGCAGGAGGGAAATCGGGTGCTGATTTAATATTTTCATCTAAATCAAAATCCAGTGACTATCACGATAATATGAACACAGAAATGTTTGTAAAATGGTTGCATGAAAAACTTCTCCCAGGTTTAAGTGAGCCCAGAGTAATTATTTAGACAATGCACCTAACCATTTTGAAGTATTAAACAAAAGTCCAACGAATTCTTGGACTGTTGATAAAATTAAAGAATGGTTGACAAAGGAACATATACCATTTCCTCAATATATATTAAAATCTGAATTATTACGCTTGGCAAATATACACGTTAAACCAAAAATCTTTGTTGTGGATCAGATTATTGAAAGTTACGGTCATCAAGTTTAACGTCTGCCACCGTATCATTGCCAGTTTAATCCCATCGAATGTATATGGGGAATAGCAAAACAATATTATTGGGCCTAATGGTTATAGTGACGACGCAGTTCGGGAAACTTGGCGAAAAGCACTTTCAATTGCAACTCCAGAAGTGTGGCAACTGTATATCTAAGTGCGAGAAACTAATAGAAGATTGGTGGAATAAAATAAACCAAATAAGTCCAATCATAATAACAATTAATGGTAATGACGATTATGATATTTTGGATGATAATGACTGATTTTCATTTTTGTTGGCAAGTTCAATTTTTTTATTTTTCATTTGAAATTCTCTACATGGAAATTTTTATGTTAGAAAATATTTTATTTGAGCTAAATAACCCTCTTATTATACATAGACCATATTTTCTGTGTGAAGTGTAATATAAAATTATTATTAAGTTTATAATAGTCACATTAGATTCCATTAATGAAGAAGTTTAATTCTGCTCTCAATTATACAAAAGATTCTCCATAATTAATTAATTAATTAAAAAGTTGTACATTATTTTTCATTTCATTTAACCAGTTTATATTTCCCCAAAGAACAGGTCAAACTTTCGGGTACTTACCTGGAAATACTCATAAAATTTTTAATTCGAAACCCGCGTAAATATAGCGAACAGACTGTATATTACTTCTTGTATACCGTCTAACCGGCAGCGTTGTGTGGCTAGTTCTTATTGGTCTATTCCCGGCTACCTCATAAATTTTAAAAAAATTAATAAACCTGGCAAATTAATAGAAAAAAAAATGCCACTGCAAAAAGTGCTAATTGTCGATTTTTGTTAATTTTTCAAGGTTGTGGACTTTGTCCGAGGTTGCAAATTTATCAGGTTATTATGAAAAATATTATTAACATTTGCAACCAATTTTCAAAACTTTTCCATTTTTTTTTGACAAAATTAGAGTCAAATAAACAATTGTTTAGTCATTTTTAAACAAAAAATATTTGCGTGCAAAATAGAAGGTTGTAAATTGGAATAGCTGTTCCAAAAATGTGAATGAGTTTGTCTTCGGTTTTTCAACTATAATATAAACAGAAACGTTATATTACAAAAATAATCATGTTGTAGACTTTGAAAAAACTTGCAAACATGATATACTAAATATTAAAAACATCCAAATTGATATTGACTCAAGTTTGTAGCACTTGTGCTATTTTTTTTACAAATTTATACATTTCAAATTTTTGTAATTAATAATATGTTCCGGACCCCAGAAAAAGTTGCAAAATTAAATTTATTATTATTATTTAAATTTAAGAATATTCCAACAAAGAATGAAAACTTTTGTAATTAATGTGAATTGCTTTTCTTTAATCTGACCTAATACGCCAAACGTATTGGAAAACGTTCGATAGCCTACCATTTTGTACAGCTCTTGAAGAGAAACTCAATGCCGAAAACCGCATTCTCCTAGCTCGAACGGTTGCTAAGATATTTAACAAAAACCCAGTTTTTTTTTTCATTTGTAATATACTTTATAAAAAAATTGTATGCTGTATGTAAAAATGTTTTGTTTTTTTTTTCATTATCTTATATTGGAAATTTATTTTGAACAGGCAAAACGACCACAACAACAGTTCGAAATTTTTAAGTACCTGAGTACCTACCTACTTATATTTTATTACCAAAATCCAAAAGTTTAGGTATTAATAATCCTGTACCCTTAATGCCGTTTTCCGAATATGTACTTATGGATTTTCTAAGAATTTTTAATCTTCTTACCTAAATCCTTTGATGTACCTACCAGATTACGTCTAAGGGTACGAAAGCTTTGTCTTATCTATCGACTTATCATTTTCTTTAAGCCAAAATACTAGTTATTTGGCTTTAAGAAAGTGAAAATTTTCGTTTGAAATTTAGAAGAATTTAGTAACACCGTAATCGTTGACTTTATTGACAAAATTGAATGTTTTTTGAAAATATCTAAATACTCTTTGTTATGTAAATAATGCAGTTAAGATTTATAATGTATAATTAGGTAGATAAAATTATTTAAATTACATAGCTTTACCCTACAACCCGATATTGAATTTAAATTATGGTTAGGGATGCCTTATAGGAAGTGACCCTGTATATAAAAAATGAAACTCGAGACAGTAGTAGACCGCCCTTTTCCTGTAGGAAGTCACCTAACCAACCCTCATTCTCACCCTTTATGCAAAAAGGTCCAGTTTGAATCCTGTTTCTTCTTCTTTAAGGGCATATATAGGTGACGCGTTTCCCATAGAATATCAATCCCTCAAAAAAAAACTGGTTAGATTGCGATCGATATGTGACCAAGGTCAACTTCGGCGTATTTAAAGAACATTTTCTACAGGAAGTCCAGCAAATACCATGAATGTGAATTTTTCTAATAACTCTCGAAAATATCTTATTTAATATGACTGAATTCCTCCAAAACCATCGAATTTGATTATTTTTATTTAACTTGCGAAAATTTTGCCGAATTTAAAAAAATAATCGAGATTCCCATGGTCACGGCCGGCTCGATCACATCGGTATATCGTAGAGCGAAAACCAGGTCCGGCTTCCGGTTCCGGGCAGGTGGCCCCCACGTGATTACCTCCGGGGAACTACGCTTGCTTGATGGTGCGAAGAACCCGCTGGCACTGGTTTGCTTTGGACCTACAACGCTGATCGACTAATTGCCTCCCCCTCTAGATACAACAAATTATGTTTTAATCTAGTTAGCTCTGGCTGCGGTTTTGGATTGTCGTTCTTATGTTTTGATTTTATTTTGATTTAACACGAACGTTTTGAGTTAAGGATAAAATAAAATTTTAACTTATAATGGGAAAGTAATATTCAATATAGGTACGAATCATTTTTGATTATTTAATATTACCACAACCAGGCGCGGATCTGGGAAGATTTTTTGGGGGGTAGATAATTTTATCA